TGAGAAATTACACGACTGTTCTTATGCTGGCAGGCATAGCTAATAGGGCTCTAGCCATCTTTTTCCTGCCCAGAAAAACTTGGTCCTTAGTTTGAGTTTAAAATAACTCGTATATATATATATATACTCTCTCTGTGTGTATTTCAAATATAAATTACATTTTTTTCCTGTGAAAAAGACTTAAGGAGGAAAATGATGGAAGGCGTGATGGTTTTTCAAAAACTTAAGAAGCGGACATAAGGATTTAGGAACAATATTTGTTGTTTGACATTCAGATTTTGGCGGAAAATCAGGAAAAACCTCTTAACTGTTAGAGCAGTACAACAATGGAATCCACGACCACAAGAGGTGGTGAGCGCTCCAGCACTGAAGGCCTTCAAGATGAAATTGGAGAGCTATCTGTCAGATCTGCTTTGATTTGGGTTCCTGCCTTGAGCAGGGGGGGTGGACCCGATGGCCTTAGAATTCCCCTCCAACTCCATGATTCTATGATTCTGTGAAATTCCCTTTCAACTCCATGATTCTATGAACATGTCAGATTAACGTGAAAGGAATTTGTACAGAACTTTTTTTTTCTCAAAGCCATTTTGTCTTGTTATTCTGCTGTTGTCAGTTTGGTTGCTTTAACGATTGCATCTTCTCCTTTTCTTTCAGTAACCCCATTTTGTTCCCTCCTGCCTTCCCTCCCTCCCTCCATGTCTATGCATGTTCACGATGTGTTTCTGTACTGTCTTTGCCTCGCTAGCTGCAGCAAAAAGGGCGCAGTAGGACTGCAGTGCAGGCCCAAACGTCGTTCCGACCTCTCCTTTTGCGAACCTTCTCAGACGAGTCTAATGTGTTGTAACAGGTATCCCACTCTCCAGCATTCAGGCTTGGGAAGGCAGAGATTAATCATGTGACCCGTGAAATCAGTTAACACAGGAGTGTTGTAATCTCAGCTGTTGGTGGCGGCAACTGTTTTTGCCAAGCAGAATCAGGTACAATGCCCTGCCCTACATTCAGGGTTTGAAAAAAACAAAAACAAATTGAAGCTGTATCTGAAAAACAAATATACCCGGAAGTGTGTGGGGATCTTCCACACCTGATCTCTTAGGCAAGCTCAATAGCAGAGGTGGGAAGGACCTACCGATAGGTCACGGTGCTTTTTTTGTGGCCACCGGGGTGCCCTAGACCCCTTTGGTGTCTTCCCAATGTGGGGGAGAATGTGAGTAAATGTTATTTTCTACTTCCTGAAACCTGCAGGAGCGGTTGACTTTTCCTGTAGAAATCCCACTTAAGCTCCAAAACAAGACAATGCAAAAAACAGACACAGAAATTGGAAAGCGGCGTCTGCCGTTTCCATGTGTTGGACCCAGTTTGGGTCTGGCAAGTTGCCCCCCCAACAAACTCGCTGAGGTTGCCCACCCCTGTTCTAGAGCATCAAAGCTTTTGTTCCGATAATAAAAGCTTTGAAGCTGGCTTGATTGCGGCTGGAAGGTGCTTAGAAAGCAATGGGTATTCCCTCCTCGAAGCGTGGAAGCCAATGGGGCTTCACGACCTTCTCTGCTTGGCACATTCCTCTGTCTCTGCTTACCCTAGAGGATCCTCAGCCACTGAGCTTCTTTCTTCCCTGGATCTGAGAAAGCCAAATCCTTGCAAAACTGGCAGGTTCCCCATGCTCCCAAATGTTGCAGTACAGCCCTAGGAGGAAAGACGGAAAGAACTGGGCATGTTTCGTCTTGAGAAAAGAAGACAGAGGGACAGTATAGGGTAGCACTTTTCAAATACAGTGGTGCCTCGCATTACAATGTGAATTCGTTCCAGCGAAATCGCTGTAGAACGAAAACATCGTAAAGCGAAATTAAAAAGCCCATAGAAACGCATTAAAACCTGTTTAATGCATTCCGATGGGCTTAAAACTCACTGTCCAGCGAAGATCCTCCATAGGGCTACCATTTTAGCTGCCTGTCTTGCAAGGAATCCGTCCCTAAACACAGCGGGGAGCCATTTTATTTACCCGGCGGACATTTTGCAACTGCCGATCAGCTGTTGGAAAATCATTGTTTTGTGAAGAATCGGTTCCCGAAGCAGGGAACCGATCATCGCAAAGCAAGATTCCCCCATAGGAAACATTGTTTTGCGATCGCAAAAGCGATTGCAAAAAGTTCATCGTAATGCGATTTCGTCGTTAAACGAAGCGATCGTAATGCGAGGCACCACTGTACCTGAAAGGTAATCCTATAGAGTAGGAGCAGGATCTGTTCTCCATCATTCAAGAGTGCAGGACATGTCATAATGATCTCAAGCTATAGGAAGCTAGATTTAGGCTCAATAACAGGAAAAACTTCTTAACTGTTAGAGCAGTACGACAGTGGAACCCATGATCTCGGGCAATATTGAGAGCTCCAATGGTGGAGGCATTCAAGAGAAATTTAGACCACCCTCTGTCCGATCTGCTTGGATTGGGATTCCTGCCTTGAGCACAGAGTTGGATTCAGTGGCCTTGTAGGCCCCTTCCAACTCCATGATTCTATGGAAACGAAGGAAGCAAATCAAAGGATGTGGATTGCTCTCAGGTGTGGGGACCACATGTTGTCAAATCGGAACTGTGGTTTAATTGGTTTTGTCCAACCCCGTTCCACATTTCAAGCAACTTGGCACAACGTTATTATTTTTCATGGAGCCTCTGGCATCTTGGAAATGAACACTGAAGATTTTAGAAGGATTCAAGAGGCTGTCCAGCTATTAGTTGGGTCAAAGGGCTGCTTCTGAGCATGCATTAAGTTCAGAACCCTTGGACAGGGTATAGTATTGGCCATCTCTTGTTTTCCCCACATTGTTAGCATTTGCTGTTCTGTTAACAGGATCAGTTCATTGAAATTGGAACATCCAAGCGTCAGAAGCTCCAGTGATACTGGTCAAAAAAGGGGGAAGGACCTGTTTTCTTCACCCCAGCATTTCCTGTTCTGTTCGTTCAGATTTCTACAGAAAGAAAAGTGGATTTAATTTGTTAGTTACTATTTATATTTGTACCCCACATCTCACTTTTCTTCCAGTGAGGAGAACTGTTGGATAGCTCAGAGGTTTTGTCCTCTGGTTGCAGAGTGAGCCAGAGGTTGGGAGTTTGATTCTCCCACTGGGCCTCCTTGACCGGGGCTGGATTGGATGACCCACAGGGTCCCTTCTAGCTCTGCAGTTCTAAGATAATGACGGTGAAGAATCAGGCATAGCTCTCTGCCCCAACTTAAACTTTCCGAAAATAACCCTGTGAGATAGATGTGAAAAGGAAATGTCTAACTCAAAGTCACTCAGTGAATTTCATGGCTCAGCAGGGACTAGAACCTTGATCTTCCAAGTCCTAGCCTCAATAAACTGACCGGAACAGAAAGTAGGATATAACTGTCACATTCCACTTATGGCATACATCTGCAATAAGCACAGTCCTTCAAAGACCATGGAGAGATGTTTTGCGATGATCCATTCATTTTGTGGGGACTTGAAAGGGTGCTGATCCATCAGAGCTGACTTCTTGACAGCTGTCTTAGAGAACATTTCATTGAGAAAAGGTGCTCCCGTTCTGCCATTGTGCTCGTCAGGCATTAGCCATGTCATTGCATGCATTTTCTTGTTCTGCCTCTTGATCTGTCTGAACGTTGGTATGAACGGAAGGCAACTTAAATTAATTCAATCACTTGTTGAAATCATGTAATATACTCTGTGTGTACGTGTCTGAACATAGGTGTATGTGTGTTGTGCCTCTTCCATATCTCTCCAAACGGTGCACTACAAATTTGATTCTAAAATATGTGTTAATTACCATATGAAATCAAGCAGAAAGAATGCCAAACTGGTAAAATTCCAACTCTTTTAAAAATTTGCCTAGGAGAAGCAAATAGTCTGTTTCATGGACATAACTCCCTATTTGTAGGGCTTATTTTTTTAAAAAAAAAGTTAACAGACACATTCACACATCACAATAAGCCATGGCTTGTATTAAACCTTATTACTGAAGTCATGAATTTCACCAGACATTTTAAAAAGCAGTCAAACACGGCTTGTCTTCCTTATTTCTAGTCAGCAGAGTTCAATTTTAGAAAAGTTATTTGGGGAGGAGACACACTCCAGAAGTGGGTGGAGCTAAAAACCAATGGGGCAAGGCCCAAAATATGAAAGTAATTTGATTTTAAAGCTCTTAACAGCTAGCAACTCAGACTTAGGAGAGATGTTTCAACATATTAGACTTTTAAAAATGTACAAAACTTGGTAAGCCACAGAAGGCTGGTGTTCTGAAAGCAGGTGTGGGCCCACTGAAGAAGCTCAGGAGAGCTAAATTCAGACACCAGAGAGGGCTGTATTCAGTCCAGCCCCTGACATTCATTTGAAGTGTACATAAAATTAATGCACACTTCTCTAGGAACCTACATTACACAGATCCACTTAGACCGTCAGCCCAGTTCTGTCCCATAGTTGAGAACCTCCAAGGCAAATGAGTTACCATATTTTTCGCTCCATAAGACGCACCAATTTTTTAGGAGAAAAAAACAGGAATAGATAATCTGTTTTCTTCGCTCCATAAGACGCACAGACTATCCACCCCCCTGTTTTGTGGGGGAAAAGTGTGTCTTATGGTGTGAAAAATACGGTACTTTATATCGCATCAAAAAATCCCAACAACTCCTTGTTCCTTTGACATAGTTTGGCATTCTACCCCTGCTCGCTATACCCCTGGTTTTATGATTGTCCTTTTTTCCTCCTAGCAAATCTAATACTTAATCGCATCAAAAAATCCCAACATCTCCTTGTTCCTTTGACATGGTTTGGCATTCTACCCCTGCTCACTATACCCCTGGTTTTGTGATTGCCCGGGTCTTTTTTCCTCCTAGCAAATCTAATACTTAATTTGTAGCTTTAAGGGGGTAGTCTGTTTCTTCCCTGCCTGTCCTCATCCTCCTCCCACCGACCGCAGCATCTTTCTAAACATCTGTTGCCCACTTCCCCTGTGTCCAATTTTGTCTTTGCAGCCCGATTCTGTGGAGCTGCCGATGCTGGTGTCTTACAGGCAGGTGGAGAACGGTTTTCCCTCCGACGCGAGATCCAGAGCAGATATGCCTCATTTTCCAGAACCTTCTCATCTCAGGATACTTCGGATGCAAAGATTGTAAGTTCAGCTCACGGGCACCAATGAGCCACGTCAAGACGGTCCTGGGGCGCAGCCGTGCCCATGGAGAAAGGATGCAAAGCCTTTGCTGCATTTAGTTTCACATTGGAAGATGCTGGTTTGCTTTGAACTTCCAAAGATCAGAGAAAGAGGGGGGTTCTTGAACACACACACACACACCCTTCTTGATGCCAGTTTTAAGAAAGCAAACTGCTGGAAAGCTGTAGGACTGGGACGCCCTGAAATGGAAGACAGGTCTTCTCGCTGGCCTTGGTTCGTGTCCTTCCGGGAAAGGTGAAGACTTGCTTCTATTTTTTAATTTCTTCCCAACCAAAGAAAGCCCAGGCTGCATCTTCCACTTCTCACGGACCTCACCAGAAAAGTCTTTTGTGTCCTTCTGTGGCACAGCCGCACATTGGAACCACGTTCCATTGGCGTGGTGGTTTGTTACCCACCCGCACCCTATTCTTATTACAAGAATGTGCACCTTGGAAATAGATGTGTTTTATGACCTTCCCATTAGCTCGTCAGGAATAATTGCCGGGGGGGAGGGAAGGGAATCTGCTCTCTGAAAGGCCTGCTGTGGCTGTAAGTGCAGGTCAGTGAAATGAGGGTTGGGCTCCTGTAAGTAAAGGCATTGGGGAAGATCAGCAAGCTGATGAAATGTACAAACTCTTCACTTTTTTAAAAAAAAGCTCTCTTCTGCAGCTTGTTCCTTTCTTCCTCAATGGTGGAGCCAGCCTTTAAAAAATGAATGCATGTTTATTTTCTGGAATTCTCACATAGCATCCTTTGGCCATCTAAAAAGATCAGCCTTGCATTTTTCAGGATCCCCATGGTATAAGCTTCAAAGGGAGTGGGCAGGCAAGTTAGGAGGGGAGTCCATTGTGGCTGTCCCAACTCTTGTTTAAAACTACAGTTCCCATCGTGCTCCATGATGAGACCTGGTGGCAGCTGTAGCCCGGAGGGATTTGGAAAACCTTTGGCTGCCCATCCCCTTTTGGAAGCTATTGTGAAAGTAGTTGAGATGCACTTTGATACCTTCTTCGGGTCTTTTTACAAAACTTCATCCGTAAAGGATTCGGATCGTGATCTTTGCCATGCCAGCCTGTACGGCTTTCTGCCCTTTCCAACTCATGAGCTTCTGTTTGGGGCAGAAGGCAAGGAGGACCCCATCCTATGCATGATTGATTAGGGCAGGATTGTATCCCAGGAAGGAAGAAGCAATGCCGCAGCTAAGTATAGGAAAGTTACTTTTTTTTTCAACTGGGAGATTCTGGGACCTACAGTCTTTTTTTCAAAAAAAAACATAAATTTTCAAGGCACCCACTGGCGGCTTCTCTCTAGTGTGGTGCATCTTAAAAGCCATCCAATGGCTGAACTCCTGTCATTTAGCATAGTAAACCATATTAGAGTAATTCTATTGGATCATTGGGGGTTGGGGGGGGATCAACTCCTTCATAAGTTCCATTGACTCACCATGATTTAACTTCAGCCTCGAAGGTCTGTTTGAATCAGTAGAGCTTATGGACATGGTTCCTCAAATCCTCCATGAGCCGCTGCCGGTCCACTGCTTACTCGAGTGCAAATTAGAATGCTAAGCAACAGGATTTCAGCCCCCTAATACTTTTTGTAGGTGTCCCGGGTAAAGTCTTTCAAAAAAAAAACACTACACAGCTGGAAAATGCTTTTGCATGCGCAGTGGACGCATGACGTCAGCTGCTCAGAAACACCCGTGGGGGCATATATGGGGGCATGCCTTTCCCAACATGTCATGTGTCTCTTAGGGGGGGTGTTGGAGATGATCAGCTGTGTTAATATGCAACTGCACCACTTCTTGCGGTGCATGTGGAATGTTTCTGATCCGTGGCTGAGTGATGCATTTTCCATTTGCATGCGGCTTCTCTGGAGCGCATGGTTTGGCGGTTTGGCTAGCAGGTGACTCCCCAGCAGTGGCTCATGCATGCGCCCACTTAGAGCATCGCTTCAACCCCTGTAAACCGGCACTGGATGGGGTGAGTCTTAAAAGGAGCCCGCCTTGGGAAGAGTTTGCCAAAGAGTCCTTCCTTGTTGACTAAGTGCAATGTTCATGTGAAAACCCCTTTTCTGCATCCTTCAAAAAAGAAAAGAAAAAGCCACAGGACCACAGTCACCTAAAGTCGTTCTGCCTATGTGTGTACACCTCAGAAAGCATCACTAGATGTGGCAAGGAGGCATGGTGGATGTCGGCTCACGCCTCCCTGGTAATGTCTTATGAAAGAAACATTGTCATGTCATTATTGTGTCCAGAGCCTCCCTTTCACCGTTTATTGCCTGCTGCTAGTAAGGAAAGGCAAAAACAAGCAGCTGTGCATCCTATCCTGAACGTCTCGACACCATACAGTCAAAGCCGCTTGGTATCCCTTTTAACTGCTGCGGTCCGATCCTGTAGAGACCGGGAGCTTGTGGTTTGTGAAGGAACTGAGAATTCTCTGCTGTCGTTCAGGGAGATGCGTGTGAGCCCTCTAATGGAGAGCTTAAAAGTCCTCTTTCAAACTACATATCCCAGGGTTCCCTTGGTGGCACCATGACAGTCGAAAATGATACCCATATGGATATAACCGTGCAGTGTGAATGCATGCCACATCTTCTCCTAGAGAGAAAATGAGGGACCCTCATCAGGATGCACCTCCACACACCCCCACATCATCCTAGCAGGCAATATGAAGAGTTCAGTCCTAAAAAGACGGCCTAAACATAGCAGCCCAATGAGGGGCCCGGTCACTCAAACGCACGCACACAAACCCAGCTTTTACAGCTAGTTCAATCGGTTTACACAGTTCTTCCCAACACGAGCACTGAACTCATCTGTTTTGGAGCTCTCCACATGAAGTCCTCCTCCTAATGTTTGGTATCGAAAAGCATCCTGGTCCCCTGGTCAATGATTTTTAGGATAGGGACTAGGCTGTTTCCATGCGGGATGATGATGTTTCATTCTTGCAGGGTGTGGGGGGTGACTTTTTATTCAAGCAGATTCAAGGAGCTACAGTACCTTGAATCTGCTTGAATAATTTTGGTAGCATCTACCTCGTGCCGCCAAAATTATTTTTCCCCCAACCTCCCACCCACAAATGCAGTGGAAGGTTATTATTCCTGCTCTTGGAAAGAACAAACCAACTTGGACTCCTTAAAAAAAGAGAGACAGAGAAAACTTTGGCCTCCCTTCTGCTAGACTGGAGGTATTCCAATCCACACCAATGCAAGAGGAACCTAGCAGGTTGGAGAGCGATAAAGGCTTAGAGAAAGCAGCACATACTGTACAGGTTTGGAGCACAGCTGAATAACAAGTAGGATTTTTTTTCCCTGTCCTTTGCAGTTCAGCTTGGTAATTATGCCATCATGTTGCGTCATGTTGTTACCCGGCTTTGTGTACACCTTGTGTTGTCCCACAAGGTGTACTCAAAGCAGCAAATGACAACGCGCCATGTAACAAGGCGTGCTGTCTCTCTCTCCTAGGTAGAGAAAGAGGAAAAGGAATCTCCCCCAAATCTCATTGAAAACAAGAGGGGCTGGACTCTGATCTACTACACAGACCCTCAGTTGTGATGAAGATGTGGCTGCACCACCTGCGGACGGGGTTGGCTTCCCATTTCAATCCCCCAGTCAGGAGTTATTTAAAAATTAGGGAGTGTCTCCTTGATGCAGTTTGATACCACTATACCATGGGAGCATTCAAAGGAATCCTGAGGTTTGTTGTTTGATGGAAGACTCTGCTATGTTTTACAGAAGGGCCATGTAGCTCTCCGGCAGAGCATGTTATGTACCCCATCCGACGACAAATTCCAGGATCGCATAAGATGGGGCGGTAACAAGCTAGAGCGGTATCAAACCTGTGTCAATTCCTCTAGGTGACATGTTCATCCTATATTTTATTGTCTCGCAGGCCAGGGCGCTTTCTTCTGACTTAGGGAAATCCAGAAACTTTTACTATCTGATTGATGTTTGCATAAACTTAACCAGAACTGGGTTTCCCCACCCCACCCCCTCTCTTTCATCCTCCACCTGCAGTCATGAATGTTGCCTCGTGGCCTCCCCGACTATTTACCCCAAAGCTATGGCCTCATGGACACCAGGATTGTGTGCGGTTCGTGGGATAAACAAACATTGCAAGCTAAGCTCTGCTTTGCATCCATGGGACACCTGTCCAAAAAAAAAGGCAGCTGTCGAACAACTGTAAAACCTGCCTGCCTGAAATGGACAGGGAGTCTTCTGAAAAGAGAAGAAAAAACACAATACATTTTGTAAATATAGGGTGGGTGGGTGAGGATGGTGCAAGCGGGGTGTACATTATATACAGGTTTTAAGGTGCATTTTTCAGCTCGCTGTACAAAACGGGATGGCATTCTTAATTTTTATCACTTCAACGGCAATTTTATACGTCCATGTTGCTTTATATAACGACGATGGAATGTGAATGTTAACTTTTATTGATGCAATTTGCCCTTTTTTTCATTACAGACAAAGACAAACACTTTTTTTGTTTCATTTGAGATAATCAATAAACTTTGGTATGTTCTGATTATGCGTTTGATCCAGTTGCCTTCTTGCAGGAATCAGATCTTTGTGCGACAGCTGTTAGAGAAGACGATTGCATAGGGGAGAGAGAAATTTTGGATTTCTTGCCCAGACGTCACTAGCACGGCCCCTTCGTTGGTGGTTCAGGTATTTAAACACATTATCCAGGTTGTAGGCCTCATCTAAAGTGCAGTTGTGGACACTGCACTTTAAGTAGATGCCAACAAACTGGACCAACTTCAGAGGAAGGCAACAAAGATGATCCGAGGGGGCTGGAAACCAAACTCTAGGAGGAAAGACTGAAAGAACTAGGTGTGTTTAGCTTTGAGGAAAGAGGCTAAGTGGGGATAGGATAGCCTGCTTCAAATACTTGAAAGGTACAGTGGTGCCTCGCTAGACGATGATAATCTGTTCCACTGAAATCGCTGTCTAGCGAAATCATTGTCTAGCGAAAAGCAAATCATCGTCTAGCGAAAATTGGTTTGCGAAGCAGGGACCAAACATTGTCCAGCAAAATTCCCCCATAGGAATCACTGTTTTGCGGATCGTTATAGCGATCACAAAAAGCCAATGTCTAGCGAAAAAAACTGTCATGCGGGGTAACTGTCTAGCGAGGCACCACTGTAGTCCTACAGAGGAGAGGTGGGATCTGTTCTCAATTATTCCAGAGCACAGGACATGTAGTAATGGGCTCAAGCTAGAGGAAGCAAAGTTTATGCTGAATATCAGGAAAAAATTCTTAACTGTTAGAACCGTACAACGATAGTACTAAGTGATGAGAGCTCCAACACGAAGCATTTAAGAGAAAACTGGACAACTATCTGTCCAGTCAGCTATAATTTGGATTCAAGCATTGAGCAGGGGGTTGGACCTGATGGGTCTTATATGCCCTTTGCAACTCTATGGTTTTATGATTCTAGGTTTCCAAATTTTATAACCTCTAATTTACACATAATAAAAGCAGCGTTACAAGAATTGGCTGTTCCCTCCCCTGTTTTTTAAAGTGTACAGGCACCTAAGCTAGGAGGTGTCTCATGGTCTAGTTATGGTCTAGCGCTATTGCAGTCAAAACCTTGCTCACCACCTGAGTTTGAGCCTTACAGGTTCAGGTAGCCAGCTCAAGGTTGACTCAGCCTTCCATCCTTTCGAGACTGGTAAACTGAGTACCCAGGTCACTTTTGAGCAACGTGTAGCCTGCAACAATTGTAAACCACCCCGAGAGTGTTTTACATGCTATGAGGCAGTACTGTATATACACTTCACACTTTGCTTTGCTTTTGCTTTGACAGATGCATTACTACAAACCAACCCTGTATATTTTATTTCAGCTTCAGCAGTCACCCATTCCTTTTATTCCATATGTATGGCTTTTGATTCAGCTTGTGCGCGTGCGCGCGCACACACACAATCACATGCCAGAAACTAGAAACAATACATAGGTGTCAGTAATTTAGAATAATCCAAGCACTGTTTCGAAAGGCGAATCTAAAATCAGATTGTAGTAGGGAATGGAGGAATTGATAACAAAATCCTTTAAAAATATTTTCTCATTTCATACCAGAGTAATAGCGGATGTAGCCTCAATGAAGCTGGTGTTTCATTTTTGCTTCAGGTACAGAAATGTGAGCTAATGCTGGCTGGGTGGCTCAGTGGTTTAAGTCTCTGGCTGTGGAGACAGAGGTTGGGAGTTTGATTCCCCCACTGTGCCTCCTGCAAGAAGAGCCAGCCTGGGTAGCCTTGGGCAAGCTGCACAGTCCCAGAGCGCCCCTAGAGGAAGAGAGTGGTAATACACTTCTGAGTATTCTCTAGCTGGAAAATATTGGAAAGGATGGTCATAAACCAGAATTGACGGCATGTGAGTAGTAGTATGTGAGCTACTACTGAAATATCATGTTTTTTTTATGAATCCATTGCCTCCATCCATCGACAAAACTTGAGAAGGTGTCTGGGTTTCTCTGTGTCTCTCACTGATGCTCTGATAAATTCTCTGGAAATAATCTGGGACCAAAATTCTCTCCTATCTTGAAGAAAAATAAAATGAGAACCTTCTCTTGAAATAATGAAGGCTGCATCTTGCCTGTCAGCTTTGTGAGCTTGTGTTTTAAAAACAAATAGCCCAATTCAACAACCCACTCAGAACATTGAAAAGAACAGCCGAAGTGCCTCCACCGCCCTGCAGTTTTTGACATAACGTGACAGCTTGTAAGGGACTCGAACAAAAGCTGTTATATATAGTTGTACCGCCCCTTCCGAGATCAAATCAAGCCTAAACTATCTCTGGAGACAAAAATGTTGATGCTGAGGCTGTCTTAGATCTCGAGAAAGCGAGACTGGAAAAGACCCATCGTGCTGGAGGAGGTGGAAGGCAACAGGAAAAGAGGAAGGCGCTGAGGCTCTCTTACTTTGGGCACATCTTGAGAAAGCGAGATTGGAAAAGACCCATTGTGCTGGAGGAGTTGGAAGGCAACAGGAAAAGAGGAAGGCCAAATGTGAGATGGACTGGCCCTCTAATGGAAGCCCCAAGCTTGAGTTGGCAAGAGCTGAGCAGAATGGAGACATTTTGGAGATGGTTCGTTCATAGAGTCACCATAAATTCTCTTACTTTGGGCACATCTTGAGAAAGCGAGATTGGAAAAGACCCATTGTGCTGGAGGAGTTGGAAGGCAACAGGAAAAGAGGAAGGCCAAATGTGAGATGGACTGGCCCTCTAATGGAAGCCCCAAGCTTGAGTTGGCAAGAGCTGAGCAGAATGGAGACATTTTGGAGATGGTTCGTTCATAGAGTCACCATAAATTGGAGGTGATGGCATGGAATAACAACAGAACCCCTTCTGGCCCTTGCACACAAACATAATAAACAGATGCTGCAAACGTTTGTGTGTCTGTTCATACAACTTCTCAGACTTAAGGCCTTTCGCACTGCAAAGCTGGAGACTAGGGGACGCTGCAAATGTTTGTGTGTCTGTTCATACAACATTTCCCTCAGACTTAAAGCCTTTCGCACTGCAAAGCTGGAGACTAGGCAGGCACATCCAGCTTTGCCCAGGCCATACAAAAAGCTTCGTCCCAATACTTTCCAGAGGACAGACACCTAGATGTTGGGCACATCCAGCTTTGCCCAGGCCAGGACTGCCCCAGTACTTTCCAGAGGACAGACACCTAGATGTTACCAGAAATCTAGATCCAGTAGGTGTATTATGAGAGAAGACCTCCCCCCTCCCGTTCCTTGGCTCTGCCCACTGTTGCTTAGCTGCCCTCTTCTGTGACTGCTTCTCTAGAGTAAAGCCCCAGTTTCTTCCAGCACTGAGCGGAGTTGCTCCGGTCATGGAGCTTTGCATGACAACCTCTCTGGGAGGAAAACAGGTTCCTGCATCACTCTCGCTTTCGAAGCTGGCCTCCCTTCTAGGGATTTGCAGCTGGCAGTGGGGGAAGAGGAGCAGCAACGAGAGGGCTGCGATGCGAGAAATCCCGTTTCTTCTCTCAGCTGCTCTTTGAAACTCGTTTGGGTCCGTCTCTCTGTCATCCCACCTCCCGAAGCGACCTTACAAGCTGGTGGAGAGCGAAAGCCGAGGGAGGAAACGAGCTACTAAGGCCGCCTGGAACTCAAGGAAGGAAAGGCGGCGTGGAAATCCAACGGGTGCCACCCCGGCCTCTCCGCTCGCTCTGCCCAGTGGCTGCGACGGGGCAGAGCCGTGAGTCACCCAGCGTCCCTCCTTCCTTCTCGCCCCATGCAACCTGTACACACGCGTCTCCAGCGTCACGTCTGTATAGGAGAACAAAACCTTGGGGGCGCGGGGAGGCTTGGGCGCGTGTGTTCTCCAAGCCCGGGGCTCCAAAACGCGGCGCTCCGCCCAGCCTCGGTGCGCCCTCCTCTCCAAGGCGCGCCGCTGGAGCATCTCTTGCGCCCTGCCTGCCTGCCTCTCCGCCTGCCCTCGGAGCGAGCCAGGCAGCCAGCCTCCTCGGGCCCGGGAGGAGAAGGAAGTCCAAGCCAGGCCCGGCTGGCAAGGCGGGAGCCCGCGGGGGCGATCGGAGGC